CCTGACACGTGTGGAGAACCCCGAGAGAAGAGATTTACCCCCTCAGTGTCATCACTAAGAGGTCTACTAAAAGATTGAGTTTGTGCCAACAAATGTATTGTAGCGGAACATTCAGATGTGGGTTCCTCTTTTCAGTCCAGTGTGTTGTAATTGACACACTATTTTGACCTGACGCTTCCTTTTTGTTAGCTTATGATTCCAGTGTAGATATTATGCTATCGTTGAGCTAGTTTCACAAGGTTTTATGTCTCTTTTAACGAATAAATGGTCGAAAATAAGCCCTGTCTTTGTTATTACACAGTAATAACATTTTAAATTGTCAATCCAGAGATTTCAATTGAAATGTACATACCTTTCATGTGACAACCATTAATTGACTATTACATACCAGTACATATTATGTATGTGTATTTTTATTGCTATATTTGGAATATATTTCTCTGAAGGATTAAGCAATAAATTCAAAATGACCTGTAGATATCACGTTAATTCAGTGACTAGATAAAATACACATGCTGAATCTCAGACAACAAAAACAGCGAATAGTAGACTCAGCTTATGTCCTCGTGGACGATATTACTCAATAATTGTCTCTTAATTAATGATACTTAAACTTTATGTTGATCTCTCTGCAAAAAGGGTAATTTTTATTATTCTGTGAAATAACAATTAAAATTTAGTACAGCAAATAATATGAATTTAATATAATAATTAGATAAAATACACATGCTGAATCTCAGACAACAAAAACAGCGAATAGTAGACTCAGCTTATGTCCTCGTGGACGATATTACTCAATAATTGTCTCTTAATTAATGATACTTAAACTTTATGTTGATCTCTCTGCAAAAAGGGTAATTTTTATTATTCTGTGAAATAACAATTAAAATTTAGTACAGCAAATAATATGAATTTAATATAATAATTGATACAAATAAGCAATTTATCTTACATCTAAAGCAACAAATTTCGCATAAACGATAATATGTTAATACTGGCTGTATTGTGAACCAAGCCGATTGCGTTCTTTGCGTCAGCGTGGTATAGCATTGGTATAGCATACGTGAATCACGCACCACGCACTCGTACATAATATAGTAGAACCAGCTACAACCTAAAATAGTTGACACAGCATTGAATACTACGATTAAAGTATATTTCTGCACAATGCTTGGCTTGTAATCGGACCAATGCATTTTTACTAGTGAAGTAGTTGCGGCCCCCACCCAAACATATGATGTCAAAACATATGATGGTTCCACCTGCAAGCAAAATTATACATCCGCCAAAGTTAGGTTTTTGTTGGAATGGGCTTGCATCTATCGACGTCAGGATAAATTAAAAGTTTGTGAATGAAATGTTTTTATGTAGTCCAGTGGATTTAGCCCTGAAACAGACCGAACCGGGAAGTAAAAAGTACATTAACAAGTTTGGTATCAAAAGATAGGGAATTTTTTGTAGATTTACAAAAAAACAAACCAAGAACTGATAATATGGGTAATTTTTTTTACACAGGTGGTGTTTTTCATACATTTTAGATTTTTCTTACATTTATATTTTGTAATTAATATTACTTACAGCCTACACATTATTTCATATAGATATTGCTAGTGCTTTCTATATTCTGATATTCCCAAAATAAAATCACAAGGAAGAATTAGTCTGGAAGCTAAGGCCAATAATTTTGAGTTTAGCTGCACCCCACGTTAAACATTGTGGAAACAGACTTTTCTTATGCAAAATTTTCTGACTTTTTCAAAAATGCTTGTTTCCAGAACGGAAAATGCCCTAAAGTGGTGAAAATTGACATGTTGCTATGGTAACCTGAAACTATTACGAAATCATTAAAAGTTCTATATTTTCAATATAAATGAAGATACAGATGTAGAGTTGGTACCAAAATGTAGATCGTGGATTGGCCCAATTATTCATGACATATTA